CTGTCTCGTGTAGTGTCTGAGTACATGAAATGTGGCCGTTGTGATGTGTGCGCTGTGGTTGTGCTCTGATGGTGAAGATAGTGAGTCTTGTTAGTGCGTGGTGTATTTGTTAATTAGCTGGGTTTTTTGGTATGAAAGGGTCGGTTGGCCTGTCTGACGGGGGGAGTTCATTAGTAGGGAGGCGCTTAAAAGCGGCTGCCTACGGTATTTCAGTAACCTAGAGTTAAAGAGATACAAGGTAAAAAGAGAACCATCAAAAAATTTCAAATGCCTTATAAATGTTGGCTTAGCTTAACCCAGGGAATATTTACCTTCCCGAAACACGTCATTGACGAAAGGCGCGATTTACCATGTAGCCACAGCAACCGTGATATTTTCACTTGTGAAGATATTATGTTTTCGCACAAAAGCTCACCTGGTATTTCACTGGTGTTTAAATAATGATTTCTCCTGCACTGTCCAAAGTATTCAATCCCAAGGAAAACATTTTGTCAATTTTAATCAGCTATCTTGCACAGAATTAATAATTAAACTGATGAATTCAGAAAATTGTTCTCTAAATTCACATTTGTTTAAATTTATCTCATTATGTAATGATTTATGTAATAATTTGTTATCAAATCATATCGATGACACTAATGACTTCATGGATCATTGTTTTTGTTTTTGTTTTTGTTTTTTTGGATTATTATCTCTATATGTCGATATTCACGTCGCCTGAGGCGACTAATTGTTTTAGTATAATTACATTGATGATTGTTCGAGAAAATAAATTATTGATCAATTTCTGACACCGAAACATCAACAAATCTTGCAGCCACTTTGAAAATTGCTAGCCTTCAATGTCATAATCACCGCAAGGTGCTTATAGCGGGATGACGCGAAGCTCCTAGCCAATCATAGCACTCTATTTTCGATAATCATCAATATAATTATATGACGGCCCGTTCTGGTCAAAATCATGACAATAAAATTGCACCGCAAGTCAATTTTAATCCAACTGCAGCAAATATTATGGACATGTTGTGTATTTTTGTCATTACTAAACAATACTTTTTTCAACGTGTTAGTAATTACTCTTAGCAACAAGAGTTATTTTTGTTTTAATTAAAGGAATACTTTTTTCATTCATGCCATGAATTATTTTTCAGTGGTACTTCGAATTATTTTTCTAATGTGTATCAAGAATTATTTTTTACTTGGGCCCGAGAATTATTTTTCGCGGTATCGCGAATTTATTTTTTGGTCTACAATGCCGCGATACCGCAAAAAATAATTCTCGGCCCAATGAAAAAATAGTTCTCAATACACATTAGAAAAATAATATATTCGAAGTATTCGTATACTCAAAACAAAAATAACTCATGTTGCTAAAAATAATTACTAACACGCTGAAAAAGGTATTGTTTATTGATGACAAAAATATGCAACAGGTCCATAATATTTGATGCAGTGGGATTAAAATTGACTCAGTGTTGTCCAATTTATTGTCATTTTGACCAGAACGGGCCTCCATATAATTATACTAATAATTATCAGTATTAATTGTAACTTTATCTTAAAGCTCCGTTCTCGCGGGCTCACAAAATCTCCCTAAGGTCGATCTACTTTCCGTTGAGCCGAGTGGCTTTTGGGACGAAAATGTTCACGGGAACTATGCGGAACTAACACCTTGCGAGATGGCTGAAATGGTAAGTATGGCTACTGTGTATTTTATACCGTGATTTTCGGATGTTGCCACACATTCTCTATAGATTAGATACTTCCGCACATTACCCTTCCTTGCAGACATTATTAGGGCTTTAATTCCTCTGTAAGGGAGGCTACCCGTTCGGAATGAACTCGATCACAGTTTACATCTATAAGTTTACTTAAATCATAAATCCGAATGAATACTCTGGTAGTTTTGAAATACAGTAGAAGCTTTCCTAGCGCCCACTCTCGTAAGCTACCGACTTTATTTACGTTTAGCACTGTGAAAACCGTTTGCACATAATTGAATTGCGACTTAAACTCTGTAACTACTGCGACCTCGACCACTTTAATGAAGCACTAGCTGGTCTTTTCCTTAGTGATAATCTTAAAAATCAAGGAAAATAACTTGTAAGTGATTGTATCGCAGTTAACACTTGCACTGAAGGATTTTTGTCGATAAAATATAGAATAGTACAAAACTGACTAAAACAAAGTAACCTTTTACGGACGCGAGTACAGTAAACTTGAGATGAGGTAAAACTTTTCAATACTCTTGTTAAGAAGCCGCTGGTTTAAACACATTGATATACAAAGCGTTTTTTTGAAGTCTGTCGTAAGCGACCACTCTCATATTAGTTTGATATCAGATGGTCGCTTACAAGAGCTCATCACGACCAGCTGTAGTTGTGAGCACTTTTACAAATACACTGATAGTCGTTTACGATTTACGAGACTCACAAGAGCTTTGGCTGTATATATGATGTCTTGTACCAGTGTTAAGCTATTCTAGCCAGCGCCCCGGAGAGCTTGCTCGCAGGCTAACATAGGCAAACGTTTCGCACACTGGTTCAATAGTTTCGCAGCATCGTTAAGAAAGTGCGAAAAAGAGCTCTGCTCTTGCTGCAGTTTTCTTAACTAACTCGAGTACCTTCAAATGAGTACGTAGGCCATAATTTACTGACAGATTTAACTGGATTTCGATTCGCGGCTTCCTTCCGTGTTTATTTTAATTATTACTGCATGGGCTGCCTTTTCACGATATTGTATAAGCAGGACCGTAAAACAGCCCGCTATTTCGCGCCACACGCCGCCACTTGTTGAACGCCTTAGAACATGTTATGACTGTTATGAGAACCGTAGCTTGAGGTTTATAAGCTTCCATATAAAGAGTTATTACTAATGCGAAGTTTTGTTAGACCTCGATGTTTCAACTCGTTACATAGTTCAATGACAATGTGAGTAGGGCTAATATTAATGTAAATGTTAAAGACGATGTTTGACGGTCCCCAATAGGTTTTTTGGAATTCGGGATTTGGCCTCTTAGGAACCTGGGATTCGGGATTCTCATATCTCTAGGAATTGTTCCCCGGTAGGAAAAACACATTCCACTAGGGATATGTATTCCCGGGTAGGGGAACACATATCACCAGTGAAATGTGTTTCCCGGGCAAGAGAAGTGAAATGTGTATCCTGGTTAGAGGAATGCATATCACTAGGAATTGTCCCTGGGTAGGGAAAACTTATTCCACTAGGGATATGTGTAAGGGAGGAACACGTATATTACGGGCAACACATATTACTGTGACGTCACAGAGATATGTGTTCCCCGTGCAAATAATATTCTGCCAATGCATAAATAAAACCACGCTTTTTTCCTTCTTGCGTTTGCTCTTTTTTCCGGATTTCAAGTCCTTGTAGACTGTAAGAGTATTCTTAAAATTCTTCACTGAGTTTAATTGATGGATACATTTCGTTCTGAAATGGTTAACTTTATTTACACTTTAAAGTCAAAAGAATAAATTATTGAATTGAGAAGACATTCATTTGATCTCGGTCAATATTGAGCTCAGTTACCGCAAAATATCGTAATTTGTCTGTTAATTATTCCTGATGTAAATTTTTTAATGCCTTCAACCAACAGCAAATCCCAGGGCAGTGTCCTCGGGTTCGCTAGACGTTTCATTTTTGTTCACGAACATCTCAAAATTAAAAAAAAAACACTGTTCCCACTAGTTAATTTGTTTGTTTATTTGTTTTTTTTTTTCCAAGGAGCTGGAGTAAATGTAGGCTTTGATAGATTGTGCTAGCATAATTTTTGGCAAAGTTTATCATTAGGAGCATAATTTTCCACTGTTTTGCGAAAAAAAAGCACTGCTAGCATGATTTGTTCTTTTAGCTAATTTCGCATCACAAAATTATCAATCATTGATCATGCAACCAAGTTTTTAGAGATCATTGTTATACAGGCAAATTTCAGTAACAACTCGCTCATTGTCACATCATGAGATCTGGGTTGACCAAGAAATGAAGGGGTCCTGGAACGAGAATGGGTCGCACAAGAAGTGACCCAGGACCTTTCCACTGGTCTCAACGCATGCGCACAACAAGCTCTGTTGACACAGTGCTTTACCTTTCTATTTCCATCTATCACTGCAATTTGACTTCGGGGGAGGGATACTCAACAAATGTATCTGCCCCGAGGTTCAACCCCTTACTATTTTATACAATTTTTTCACGAAAAAGGTACCCCTTTCGTATACCTTCTATTGACAAATGGAACATCTTTCTCACACCTTATTTTGAACTTTTCATCCCTTTTGCTATCAATGCTCTGTCATTTAAATAGGAATCAATCACAAAAATAGAACGTTTTGTCGACTTTATAAAGCTGTAAAATTCATCTGTTACCCCTTTTGGGGTGGCCCTTTCACAGACCCAAATTATACTTCAACTAGTGAAATCCCAACCCTTTCATATACCTGAAGCCTGGAGAAGGTATCCCTTCCGGGCGGAGCCTCCCCGTATAGCCCGTCACAGGGCGTACCCCCGCCGGCCTTCTAATGCATTTCTAGCATTCTGATTGGTTCACTCGATCTCGGTTATCATTCAAAATATTTCGCCGTTTCTGATTGGCCTAAATCCCCCCGCTAATTCTTCATAACCAGCCATATTTGAAAGAGGTAGGTCATCGACTTTCTAAAAAGTATTTACAAGAAAAAATGGGGATCTGGATATTTCCCAGCTTCCTTCTCAATCTGCAGCATTCTTTACATCATAATCAGCCTCATTCAATATTTGCTGAGTGTTAGCTCATGCAGTGACTTTCTCTTTCGAATTTGCCGTGTAAAAACAATCCACTTCCCTTTAAAGCGATTTTGTTTAGAGGCATGTAGGGGGGACGAATAAATTAATAACCTAAAAGTGGTTCTCTTTCCCTTACTAGGAGCCTTCGCTTGGCTTTGATGAGAAATCAAACATATGGCTTAAGCCATTTTCAGTACTCATCAACTGCATGTTTCCAGTGGAGTACGTGTATGCAGATTGGATTTTTTGGCAAACAGACAGCAAAGCAAGGCGTGCAGATTCAGAATCTCTGACAAGTCCAAGTGAACGCGATAAAGATGCCGGAAGTCGAGTTGAAGGATTTTGCATACCTCAGGCTTTTCTCATGAAAAGTAATATTGATCAAAACACTAAACTTGGTCTTAAGGAGCACTGGCGGCCAGATTCTGATAGGATGACAGAAAATGACCCCTTTGTAGAGAACGATGATAACAAGATCATACCTATCTTCACTACAGAACATGCAAAAGACGATCCGAGGTACGTGAAGCTAAGGCTAACAAGTGAATGGAAAGATCTTTGCCCTCGCTATAGAAATGTTTCTTACCTCAACCATGCATTTCTGTTGCCTTCAGCTGATCATGCCATGGTAAAGGCTGAAAAGTCATTTTACGGAGAAAGTGGCAAGTGGTCCTACAGTCTCCACGGACCTGTACGTAAACTTCAAAGTGGTGGGTTTGTAAATGACGAGGCGGATGACGCTGCTGTTTTCAAGTACCCGGATGCTTGGCCCGAGCCAGCGATGGAATGGTTGGTCCGACCGCGCCCAAGTGGCTGGCCTTCATCTGAACTGGTCCAGGAAATATTCGAATCCGGTTGCCATTTAGCTCCCGTTGGTAGGGGAAATCGACTTAAAGAGCCCGTTGATGTATTCAGTTACTGTCGAAACCCGGAGGCCACACTGGCCAACTCTTTATTACCCAGTGTGACGGAAGACAGCAGCGACAAGTGGATGATGGATGAAACCGAATGGCGTACCTCATTTTCCTTGGGCGAAAATAAACTCGGGAAAAGTGTGTCAGCCGTGCAACGTCATGTAATGGTTTTGCTAAAGATGATAAAGAAATTTTATTTTCCTGAAGTGATTTCAACGTACTACTTGAAGAACCTATTGTTTTGGGAGTGTGAGAAGAGAGGTGAAGTTTTCTGGAGTGAGGAAAACTCCGCAAACTGTCTGCTATTCATGTTGGATCGCCTTCAAGAGTGCTTGGAGTCGCGTCATTTGCCGCATTACTTCATGCCACAAAGTAATCTCTTGACGTTCGAAGACCCATCTGGACTGAAAGAAGCTGCTGTTCAAGTCGCTGAAGTTAGATGTAATATTTTGTCAAAGACATTCAACTTGTTACAAAAGCTCCAGATCCCACCTTTTCATTCCCAAACCTTTCTTTAAAATGTTGGTTTGCAGTTAGAAGAGCATTTCGCTAAAATGGAAGACAAAAACCTCGCGGAAGAAGATCGCAAGCAGCTTTCAAGTGCTATAGGCTCAATCTTTGTCGGCAGGTGCAAAAATGTTGTAGCAAGTCTACAACAAATTTCCTCCACGGAGCTTGATGACATTGAAACGCTGATAAATGTGGCATTATATGCTTACCAGTCAATTCTTGCACGAAATCTCTGTGCGTTGTGGTTTCTCGACAGTAGTGAAAGCAAAGGTCACAAAGCACTGGAAGACAAAGAATTCAACACATTTGTAAGGCAAGAGGTTCAAGATCTTTGTCTCGATGAGGCATTTTATGAAGTGGTGAATGTCTTCTTCGAGAGTGCCAGGAAAGGATTGGAGCCTTCTTTAGTGATACCTTCCACACGAATGATGGAAAAGCTGAGAGAGGAGCAGTTGAAATCAGCACAAAAAGACGTAGAGGATGCCGAAGCGGTATCATTAATAGGATTACTGGCCGCAATTGCTAAAGGTTAAGACCAGTGATTTGAAGTTAATTGCAGAGAAAGCTATCAAGAAGCTAAAAGAATGGGGTTCGGGTTTCTTTCCTACACAAGAGGACATAAAGAATGCAATGGACGAGAAACTGGCAGCGCTCTTTCAAGAGAAAATGAAAGGAAACTGACGGTTTCTGGCAAATTAACTCTCTTGGACAGAGCTAACTTTGCGGTAGCCTGCATGCGCAGATGAGAAGCCTCATCACTTTTTCGGGTGGAGACGACCGACGACCGGAAATATGCTAGGCTGCGTTCGCAGGCTAACAGTGATGTTAAAATATAGAAATGAGAATAGAAAAATGAGATAAACGACAAACGACGAATATAAGCTAATAGGGTGTAATAGGTGTTTAAACTACTCTTTACCATTGCCTAGTTCCCTAGTTTTAAATGCTAACCGTCAACTGCCGCTTAAGCTTATAAACCCTGGGCTTATACATCTTCGTAAGGGGTTTTTGAAAGGCTTATAAACGGAGGGGTTTATATCCGAGGGGGGTTATCACCGGAATAGAAAAGGGCTTCAAAACAATTACAATCTATAGCAATAAGGTGATCAAAATTCGTTTTGGAAATTTTACTGGTTTTTTTTATTAGCTTCAAAAATAATAAATCGCATTAGAGAAAAGAAAAACTAGATCAGCTAGACTTGTCCCAGGGAATATTTAACAATTAAATATTTCAATTCCGATAAAATTTTAAAGGCTTTGGTCTTTTTAATAAACGTACAGCATTAAAAATTTTTATTCATCTCACTTGTAAGTAATTTTGCATCATTCTGTCATACTAAAGATTTCCGCTGGCGGCCATTTTAAAAATGCCCTTGCCCCCTTCCCCCCCTTCCCCCCCGGGATGGTCATATCCATTGCCTATAATCTTTAAAATGTTCCCCAAAATATAGCATTAGTGTGCCAAGTTTCATGCTTTTATCATTAACCCTTTAAGTCCCAATGGTGACCAACATCAATTTTCTGCTAACCATATCCATAGATTGTCCAGAGATTAGGTTATAAGAATTCATAAATTGATCACCTAAGAGAAATGCTTTGATCTTTTATCAAATTCTCTCAACACATTCTTTAAGGAAATGTATAGAGATCAGTTTGGAGAATTTGTATGTGGATACTGGGGCTTAAAGGGTTAAGTGCACAATTGACCTGTCAAATGGCACTTATTCGCCGGATTATATTGACTGTCTGTTTTTTATTTATTTTGCCAGAAATCTTTTTTTTTTTGAATTTTACTACAAAGTTCTATATTTTATTTATTTATTTTTTTTCAAAACTTCATTAATTTACTTTTTTCACCGGATGGATAAATTAAAAATATGTTGGATAGCAGTTTAGGTATTTATTGCTGAAACCAATATTATGTTAGCAGGCTCTTAGTTAGAAAGAACAGTGCCAAATAAGTAGAGGTCATTTTTTGTCGTAGTACAATTTTTTATACTAATTAAACTAGCCTAGTGAGCAGCACTCTGCGTAGACTGCGAGCAGTATCTTATTTTTCTTTGCAGAGTTACTGCATGCAAAACCTAAGCAAGCAAGCGGCGAAGTCGCTTGCCGCGAGAAACGAGGGCGTAAGCCCGAGAAGAAAAAATAAGAGACTGTCTTTTCTCGTCTCGTCTATATAACAACATCGTGGTTTGCAATCGCGCTGGATGAGATCAAGAACTAGACGGATTTTAAGAGAAAAGGCGGACTGCAAGCAGTCTACACTCTGCGAACAGTCGATGTAAAACTTGTTTATTCTCCTTCACGTTTTAGCTGAAACCGTGGCCCAAAAATGTTATCACGCCTTGCAAAAAAATGTAACAGCTGCGCCTGTTCCCTTTCGTAAATCCGGCCAAACCTTCAATGTTTGAGACCATCATTATTTTTAGTCATATTATGGCTTGAATACAGGAGTTTAGTAATTGAATGTAAGAAGAAGAAGTCTACGTTAGTTAGACGAGTCGCGTAGGAGAGTGCTGCTCACTAGTTTAGTGTACAAAATTGTAAAAAGAATGTGGGAACAACTGAAAATGCTCTCCACTTCATGATTTAAAGCACGAGCATTCCTTTTTTACGTGGAATTGAACCGCTCATCCGGCTTCCGAAGACTGGACTGGAAGCGACTTTCAAAACTTATAGTCTCCGTATCAGATGGGTCCAGTCAGTTATCGGATACTCGCTGAGAAGTATATATGCATTCAACACTTATCCTAATAAGAAATGGCCACGGATGATATAAAGGTATGTATATGAGCTTAAGTACAGTAAAACTTGTTCAGAACTCCCGGATAACTCCGACTTATTTCACTTTTCCTTGAGTCAATTTTCAGTTAATTTTAACTCGCATATATTTTGGCCTCCGTTGAATTGAATGTTTTTTCTTCCCTTGGAAGTTCAAGAGAAAGAGGGTTTCTTCCTGAACAAGTTACCCCTTGAATCGATGGAGAAAACAAACGTTTATAATTAGTTACTGTGCTTCCTGCCAAAAAAAAACAACCAAACAAACACGCACACAAAAATAGTTGGAATAAAACTTCAAATCTTTAAAGGTCTGAGAAGAGGCTTCGAGATCAGAGAAAAACGTCTGCCAAAGGATGACGAGTTGCACGTAATATCGCCTTTTTGTAATGTTTTGTCCTGCCTAGATTTATAGCTTATAAAGCTATATGCGGGGAAAATACAGTATACTGTAAAACCTTATCTTTTTTACATAAATACATTGTCGTTTGTTGGAAAAAAAAAATGTCGAAATGTACCTTAAGAAATGAAATTTGCCGACACTTTGTAAGTAAATTTGTGATTTTCCTAGAAATCGCTAAATCAAAATGCGTCATAGTCACCAAATTTAGACGTCGCAAAATAACGTGCCATGTCAGGGACTATAATAACACGGCCCGGCATCTGACGTCACAGGTTGCACATTCATTCGTACCAAAAGCTCTATTACTGTCGTAAATAAGGTAGTAAATTACCTTTGAATAAATTCTTTAAAGTCATATTTTCTAGAATCCCTAAAAAGCTGTGTTTTGAAAGGCGAAAAGTTTAAGTTTTAAGTTTAGTGATTTGAAGCGTGTTCGTGGTAAAAGTCATGTAATGGGACTATGGTTCACTTTGGTAACCGGACTGATATCACTAATGTCGAGGCCGTATTAGCGCGTTTCTGACGTTTGAGGAAGTCGTAATGTTATGAAATGATTCTTGGTAATTTTTTTTCATGTTGTTTAAAATAAAAGTATTGTTTCCCATAATTAGTTTACTGTCTAACACGTGACCCACCCTATATCCCGGCGCGTGTACAACTTGTTAGTAAATCAATATTATCTGATTTGTTACGCATTACTTACCCATAACTGTNTATCCTAATAAGAAATGGCCACGGATGATATAAAGGTATGTATATGAGCTTAAGTACAGTAAAACTTGTTCAGAACTCCCGGATAACTCCGACTTATTTCACTTTTCCTTGAGTCAATTTTCAGTTAATTTTAACTCGCATATATTTTGGCCTCCGTTGAATTGAATGTTTTTTCTTCCCTTGGAAGTTCAAGAGAAAGAGGGTTTCTTCCTGAACAAGTTACCCCTTGAATCGATGGAGAAAACAAACGTTTATAATTAGTTACTGTGCTTCCTGCCAAAAAAAACCAACCAAACAAACACGCACACAAAAATAGTTGGAATAAAACTTCAAATCTTTAAAAGTCTGAGAAGAGGCTTCGAGATCAGTCTGCCAAAGGATGACGAGTTGCACGTAATATCGCCTTTTTGTAATGTTTTGTCCCCCCTAGATTTATTAATAGCTTATATAGCTATTTGCGACGTATATACAGTACACTGTAAAACCTTATCTTTTGTACATAAATACATTGTCGTTTGTTGGAAAAACAAAATGTCGAAATGTACCTTAAGAGATGAAATTTGCCGACACTTTGTATATAAGTAAATTAGTGATTTTCCTAGAAATCGCTAAATCAAAATGCGTCATAGTCACCAAATTTAGACGTCGCAAAATAACGTGCCATGCCAGTGACTATAATAACACGGCCCGGCATATGACGTCACAGGTTGCACATTCATTCGTACCAAAAGCTCTATTATTGTCGTAAATAAGGTAGTAAATTACCTTTGAATAAATTCTCTTAAGTCATTTTTTATAGAATCCCTAAAAGGCTGTGTTTTGAAAGGCGAAAAGTTTAAGTTTAGTGATTTGAAGCGTGTTCGTGGTAAAAGTCATGTAATGGGACTATGGTTCACTTTGGTAACCGGACTGATATCACTAATGTTGAGGCCGTATTAGCGCGTTTCTGATTCTCGAGGAAGTCGTAATATTATGAAACGATTCTTGGTAATTTTTTTTATGTTGTTTAAAATAAAAGTATTGTTTCCCATAATTAGTTTACTGTCTAACACGTGACCCACTCTACATCCCGGCGCGTGTACAACTTGTTAGTGAATCAATATTATCTGCTTTGTTACGCATTACTTATCCATAACTGTCGAAACGCGATTCATATTTAAACGAGGTCCCTGTTTTACAACTGTTATAGCCTTTATTCATTATGGTGGGACCCGAGCTTGTATGGCTTGGCTTGTATGGTTTTGGAAAAAGGAAAGCAGCAATGGCATCTATTACCAACTGGGTTATATTTTACTTTGGATTTTGCACGCATGTTTTTCCTTAAAATCTCTTAATGTTTGAGGACATAAGATATCTGTAAAGCCGAAGAGATAGATTCACCTGGTTCTTGAGCTTTCTTCTTAGAAAAAGTTCTCAACATGGGGGCTGGTAGCCTCCCAGGCAGACGTTCTTGGGGGTTCGTCACGCGTTCGGGCACCACTTAGTGGGGTAGGAACGCGTGACGAACCCCTAAGAACGTCTGCGTGGGAAGCTAGGGGGCTGGTGGAGTTCAAGACTTTGTAAACCCCCAGTTTTGGTTTAGGCCCTCTGCACTGATGAGCAGGTAGACGTGAGTCAAGTCATTCTCCTTTCGTTACAAAACCTAAACGATTTCTAGGTTCTAAGAAAATGTCGTTAAAATGTCCTTCCAGTTGCTGCAAGATCCCTTGGAGATATATTAGTTCTGTTTAATTAACTCTGTCACGCGATTTTTTGATATTATTAAAGATTTAAGGACATAAATATCTCCAACGTGCTTTGGTACACTAATATGAGCTTGTTCGACCTTTTTGCCCGAAGGGTTATTTAACAGACTTCTTCGAGGTCCTATTACCAGAAGAAGTAAGCGGATCAAAGGATTACTACCCCAACCTTCAACCCCCAGTTTACGCAAGAAGGGTAACGCGAGGGTTACCCTCCAAGAGCTACCCTCCATGTAAACAAGACCTAAGTCAAAATTGCCTAGCATTCTTGGGTTTTCTTGAGGGACAATGAGAAGAGACTATGTAATTTATTTCAACTGTTGTAATATATGCATTGAAATAAGATAAGAGACTTATCTCTACTTGGATGGTGTGTGAAAAAAAAAAAGTAAGGAGAAAATTCCCCGACAAATCCCTCAAAATTCCAGGTCAAAAGCTTTCAAAAGCTGATTGGGACGCTCCCATCGCATCAAAAAATCACAGTCGTGTATTATCAGGCAAATTTCTATAGTCCTATTCAAGACTACGTTCACTCGGACGATCAATAACAAGTTTTTAAACATAAGTTATCATTTGCTATATCATTTTCATTCTGATACAATGGGCAACTACATTGCTCTTTCCAGCGGCTTTAGGATCAGGCAGCCTAAGTGGGAGCAATTGAGTCTTATATAAAAAGAATAGATGCATGGATGCTTGCAATCACATTTGTTCAAGCTGAATAGGGGAAAAAATAGATAGAACTACTGGGGATTGAACCAAAGCGAAAAGCCCTCCAACCCACTGAGGGTGTTCTCTTGGCTGGAGAGTACATCAAAGTCTCAGTTTATAACCCTAAAAATATAGGTGTAATTTTTTTAATAATATCAACTTCGAGAGGTATGTTCTGCAAAATAGCCTTCTTTCACTTACGGAATATGACAAAAAATACACTGAACAGTTTCTATCAAGATGAATCTGAAATACTTTTCATGCATTTATTTCGCCCAAGTTGGATCAGTTTGCAATGCACTTCAGCCTATTATTGCCCCCTCCACAGGGGAGGCGAAATCCCGAGGAGGAATCCTAGCAGCTCGCCCGTTTATATGGAAAAATACTTACAGTTGAAACATACAGTCAGCATAAGAAGAAAAAAATCTCGATTTGCTTGATCATGGGCCTCACAGAATATTTTCGTAATGATGACGTTTCTATTGTTCACTCACGCAAGTAAGAGATGGTTAGGATGACGTAAAACAGAAATTCCCCGAAGTGATCGCTTAGGTTGATTTTGTGACAATAATAATAACAATAATAATATTGTGCGGTTATACTTCGATACTCTTTTGCGTTACATGTCATCAGTGACATTCTCTGGAGCAGCTGTTTTGAAAGTTATGGACCAAGTTAATAACACTCGTTAAGCGCAGATGAAGTTATAAGGTGCGTATAAGGGCCTGTTTACATCGAGGTGGGGGACCCCAGGTAGGTGAGGTAACCCGCAGGTTACCTGGGCTTAGGTGGGGTAACCCGCCTGTCCATATAATCTCACATTTTAATGTAATCACGTTTACGCTTCGGAGGGGAGGGTCCTTGGTAAATTTTTTACAAATTGGGGAGGGTCAAACCTGTTTTATTCTCAACTGGGGGAGGGTCACAGTTTTTTTGGCAAGGAAAAAATTACTCTATATCGCTTCTATTTTGTATATACAAGCAAAGCTACCAGTCAAGATTATTCTTAATTATTTACAGGTGTCGAAAAATTTATATATCAGTAAACGATCTTTTCCCAACTAGGATAATTGTCTCTCTCGACTCGTGTCCTCTTTCGCCCATATTTTGATGTTTCGGGGGGGGGGGGGGGGGGGGGGGGGGGNNNNGGGGGGGGGGGGGGGGGGGGGTTGTGATTTATTGCTTTCAAAGCCTCGCGAACTTCCCACTGGCGCTTTCTTTCAGTCACGAAACAGTGGCGAAAGCGTTCCTTGTAGGGACAAGTGGTCCAAAAGGACAGGTAGAATTTTGGCAGAATACTATTTGAGAATTCAGTATATTCGTCCTGGGTTCGGGAACCACCCTAGGTCTTCATCTTTCCACTTCTCTGGACTTGCGCTTTCACTTGTTCCCGCAGCCGATGTGCCGCCAACAGAGTCAGAGGAGTAGCGGGCATCCTTTTTAGAATGGCGAGTCGGGAAACAGCAACAATAGCCACAAGTTGCCCCATCTGACCTCATGAAATCCTCGCATTCACCACAAGCACGTTTCCCTCTTTCTACTTCTCGTACATCCTTCCGCATTTTCAAGTTTTCACCGTACAATCACACGCCACGCAATTAACTACTTTGTGCGCAGATGAACGCTGTTATATGAGTAAAACTTCCAGTTTGTTATTTTCACTTCCGGTTATTTTTGTCTTGGGTAGGTAGGGGGGGAGGGTCAGATGTTTTTGTTTGGGTATTTCTGGAGGGTCATGCATTAATCCATTCCAGGAAGTGAGAGGGCCACGACTTTTTTCGCAAAAAAATTCTAAAATACCTCATCCCGCCCCCCCACCCCAATAAAAAACGTAAGACCAGTGAATCAACGGCTAGTTTACCACTAGCAGAACGATAGACCATTTAATTCTGTGCAGACGTATTTCCTGCTCACATATGTCCTTCTACAGTGTATAAAGATTTTCTTAAAGTATTGTCTTCATAGTCAGAAAAAAAACTAGAACGTGTAAGCGTAAATCCAAGGCTTATTTTCCGGCTATGAAAGAGAAATAGTGAAAAATTGCGAATTCAAATCAAATCTTTTCTGAAGGTTTAGAATAAAATATTCGTGAAAATGAGAATAATTTGATTAAAGCTGTGTAAATCGAACTGAATAAGTGCATGGAACTTTTGCGTTTCCTGTTTTCATCTCACCTATTGTATGGAATAGTGTGAAAATCTTTATTATTGATCGGTATAGATATTTCAGCGAGCTACACAACGACCAAGAATCCGCTATTCAGACCGACAACATGCAAAGCAAAGTTTAGCTGTAGTGTCAACTATATATTACTCATAAACTGCAAGCAGGGTTAAGACAATTGGTTCTAGTAGGCTGCATTATGTAGAAAAATTCTGCTGCTCACCTGGTGTTTAGAAGTCGAATCTTGTAACATACAAAACCGGTACTTAAAATCACCTAAAAGTACTACTTCTTACGTACAAGGAAAATAATGGCATGGTTCCAAAATTAACTGTTGGTCTCCTTTAGCCGTATACTCCGACCAGGTATCCGGTAAGATCCTCTTCAAAAAATCTTCCCTGATCTTCCTGCAATACTAAAGTCTAATCTCAAGACTTATGGAGACAGATCTTTGGAATACATTACCTAATAGCATAAGATCAACCCAATCCCTAAATGTGTTTAAAAAATACAGCCTATCTTTTAAAAGAAGCTTTTTATTAGTTATATTTTATATTATTTTGCCAAAGTAGGTAACTTGCATTGCCTTTCTTTTCATAGAGAGAATTGTTTTCCTTTGATGAAAAGTCACACATATGGCTTCAGCCATTTTCAGCGCTGATCAACTGCATGTTCCCTGTGGAATATGTGTATGCGGATTGGATTGGCTGCCGAGCACACAGCAGAGCTAGGCGTGCTGACCCAGAGTGTCCAACATGTCCAAATGAACGAATCAAAGACACCGGAAGCCAGGTTGAAGGATTCTGCATACCTGACTTTGCAGTAAGGAAAAATGATGTTGACCGAGTTTATGGAAGCATGGTGGATGTAACAGATCATTGGAAGCCTGACTTTGATCACATGAAGGTCGCTGACTCGTTCTTTGAAAGCGATGGAAAGAAACAGATACAAATATTCACTGCCGAACATGTGGAAGAAGATCCAAGATACGCAAAGTTAAGGCTAACAAAGGAGTGGAAAGATTGTCATCCTCTTTTCAGGAATGTTGACTTTCTTCATCATGCGTTTCTTCTTCCCGATGCAGATCATCCCATGGATGGTTGGAAGCAAGAATCACACATTGGAGGAAACGCCGATTTTTCGTACACTTTCCATGGTCCTGTTCGTAAATTAAAGGGTGGCGATTTTCTTATTTGCGAAGCGGATGAAACGACAGTTTTTACATACCCAGATGCGTGGCCTGAGGCAGCGATGGAATGGTTGGTCCGACCGCGCCCAAGTGGCTGGCCTTCATCTGAACTGGTTCAGGAAATATTCGAATCCGGTTGTCATTTAGCTCCCGTTGGCAGAGGAAAACGGCTTGAGGATCCCGTTGATTTTTACAGTTATTGTAATAAGCCAGAAGAAGCAGTGGTTTGTTCTTTAGTAGTTCCGACAGAAGGCAACGAAGAAAAGAGGTTCATGGATCAAACCGAATGGCGCAACTCCTTTTCTTTGGCTGAAAACAAACTCGGAGAGAGTGTTTTACCCGTGCAACGGCATGTTATGGTACTACTAAAGATGATCAAGAAATGGTATTTTCCTGAAGTGATTTCGACGTACTTCTTGAAGAATCTATTTTTTTGGGAGTGCGAGAAGAAAGGTGAGGTCTTCTGGAGAGAGGACAAGTCCGGAAACTGTCTTTTATTCATGCTGGATCGTCTCCAAGAGTGCTTAGAGTCTCGCTGTTTGCCACACTACATCATGCCGCAAAGCAACCTCCTGTTGCATGAAGACCCATCCAGTCTGAAAGAAGCTGCTGCTGTGGTCGCTGACGTGAGACGCAATATTTTTTCAAAAACATACAACATGCTGAGAAGACTGCAGTCAATGAACTATCAGTCACAAACGTATCTTATAAACCTTGGTTTGCAGTTAGAAGACCAGATGACAACAATGCAAGAGAGAAACCTTGCAGTTGAAGATNGACTGCAGTCAATGAACTATCAGTCACAAACGTATCTTATAAACCTTGGTTTGCAGTTAGAAGACCAGATGACAACAATGCAAGAGAGAAACCTTGCAGTTGAAGATCACCGAAAGCTTCTAATAGATATACACTCGGTTTTTGTGGGCAAGTGCAAGGAAGTGATAGATTGTCTCCAAATGATGGATCGCCAGGGCATGGAAGCGCTAATAAATGTGGCTTTGTGTGTTTACCAGTCACTACTCGCAAGAACGCTGTGCAAATTGTGGTTTATCATTAATGATGACGGCACCAATAAAAACGCATTGATTGAGAAGAATTTTAATTCCTTTGTCAAGGAGGAGATTGGAGCTCGTTTCCTGTATAAAGACATTCTCTCTATTGCACATGTCTTCTTCCACAATACCAGAAAAGGGATAGAATCTTCTATCGCAATTCCTATGACAAGTGCCATGTGGCAGTTGAGAGACGAACAGATGAAAATAGCTCAAGAAACCACTGAAGAAGGCAAGGTAGAATTGAAAGCAGCGCTGGATATATTTAAGTATTTGAAACAAACAGGTAAAAACATGAGTGATTATGTGACAGAAGATGACATTAGAATGTTAGGGCTAGATCCAGAAGAACTTAGAGCGTCAATTCAAGAATTACAAATGCAAGGAGCCATGAAGAATTTTGGGAGACCAAAAAAACGCTAACAAATTAAGACATTAGGATGATGGGGCTAGATCCAGGAGCAATTAAAGCGCGCCTTTCAGAATTAAAAAATAATGCAAAGAGCAGTGTTGGGAGCCTAAACGAAACTAACAAAACACAAACGCAGTTGGAGTTGAAGAGAAAAAAATAGCCAAATATCAGCAAGAAAAAAATACTACGACACTTGGAGGTCAGGCAGACCACATGCTCGGCTGAAGTACGATATATCCAAGTCTTCAATCGCAGGGTACCGTTCATTAAAAAGTATTTAAAACTTTATCAGCAGATAGTGACAGCTTTACTTAAACATTAGAGGGCAGCGGATGCGTCGGCAATAACGTTTTATGCAACTGACTCTTGCATTCGTAGTACGATAATCTTGAAAAATAAAATGCAAGCAAAAAACAGATGTGAGACAAATAATTCGTGGAAAAATTCAACATTCGCGAAAAGCTTGGATCGATTAACAGTGACACTAAAACTGTCCCATCAGACTAAGAGAACTTAGGAGTAAAAAGAAACACAGACTGCAGACAGCTTGAGGACCGTTTTAATAGAGACTGCTTTGGAAAACCTGGGGCTGGTCAAAACGTCTTTAAATGAACGCAGACTGCTGTAGAAGTATTGTAGAATTTTCTCCCACGCTACTTAAGGACTTGAAGTTAATTAGAAGTAGTCTGTAAAGGGATCTGTAGTTCTTCAAGAGCATTCGATTTTAAAACCATTCTCCTAGACAGATTTTATAAAATTGTACCAAAAGTAAAAAATATATATATGGCTTACCTACGAAAAAGGGCCAGTAAATCAATATTTTGTTTCTTGAAAAATGGTGAACGACGCCCTCCGTCCGTTACCCAAAACCCCCACATAGTATGCGGGGTCGTGTAGGTGGCTCACTGGGGTATGAAAATAATTACCGTATACCATCGTCCTCTTCCCTCAGTCCAACGTAACGGTATTTTTAACACCAGGGGCCAGTTACTCGACCGTCCCGGTAAATCAAAATCTAAAAAAAAAATAGGGGGTTCTAGCTAATAAAACAGTCCATATTGTTTCGTTAACCGATAGTTTTATTATGGAGTCTGCAGAGCTATTGAAACCTCTGTATTGAATGTAAACAACAACAGCTTTCTATAGGGACTTTCTGGAATTCGGGCCCCAGTGATGAAGTACGCAAAAACTCAGTATTTTGTACGTGAAATACGAAGTTGGAAATGTATAGATAAAAAAGGAATTTTCATTTCTGGAAGTGGAATCGTTGCAAAAAGGTGTTGGTTCAGCAATCAGTATTTCAAACAGGAATAGTCCTGTTCAAATACGTTTAGTTGTAGTATTTTAGTGTTATTGGAAATTATACCTTTTTCCTAAGGTTATCCTAATGAAGGAAGTTATTACAAGACACTCTTATTTTGCCGTAACTGGACGAGCTCGGACAGTTGCGGGTCTAAAACTTTTATTTTCTGAACCGAAGTCATGTTGATGGATATTTTTGGTAATTTTTGATTCTTGTTATTCTTTTGATTTTTGTAACCATTAATCTTTTAATCAATATTTCCTTTTACCTAAAAAGCTGCTCACACCTCTTAAACTGGAGTTTCAATGAAAAATTTTTGTAATCGCCTTTCTTTCGGTAGGAACTAATTGCTATCCTGTACTGTTTGATTAAGCGTGTTACCTGGTGAATAGCTCGTTAAAATTGTATGATAAAAGTTGTAGTTCGTTCAGCTGTCTCGCTCTTGGGTAAGCCCGCCTTTTACACATTTAATTTGTTTATTGCTAGAAGTAAATATTGTAATCTGCCGAAAATTTCAGTTATTTTAAGATATTTCTAAACTTGTAATAGAAATGTTATTACCAAACTGATCCTAAGGCTTGTAATTTTCCCTATTAGACTGGCGTTGTCTTTATAAGAAGCAGTTAAGTCATATATCAAACACGACACGCAGTGCTTCATCCGATATCTCAGTAGACACCGAGAAGTGGGTTGATAAACGAGGCGCAGCCGAGTTTTTTAAGCCCAGCTTCGAGGTGTCTGGATATCAGATGAAACACTGAGTGGAGTGTTTGAAATAATCAATAATTCCTGAAGAAATTCAAAAGGAAAGTTGGCAAAATTTTATGGCTATTAAGATCCGATATCCTAACCACTGTCACGGTAGAGATTTCCTTTGTTTTCTCTTCATGAATTATTGATGAGTTAGAGAAGTCCTAGTATTGAGAATATATGAAATCCGTCAACTTTGCAATGACGCATCATCAGGTTGCAGATGTCTTCTCGAAATTAATGAACTGAATCTGAGTGACAGTTTGCACCTTAAAGTGTGAATTCGGTTGTTTCTCCATAGAAACAGAACGCTAGAACTCTGAAATTGATTGTAAAGTGACTGTGCTGAGACGAAGAGCATTAAAATAGCCGCGTGAAGGACTGAAGAGACTGAACGTTCCTTGTTGTATATAGCCGCCCCGAGTTAGTCCCCGTCAAATGGGTTTGGGCTGATACTACACCAGGACCTCTAGGCCATCCGGTTTCCGATTCCAAACTGGAACGAATCAAAATATCTGTGTAAAAAAGCGGCATGACTTACGTACGACAAACGAGCCAAACTACAAAGAAACAAAAAGAGAACGATACTAACGTTCTAATAATGATCTGAGTTCGTGAAAACGTGAAAAAACGGCGGATGAAGGAACGTTAAAAAGACATTAGACTGACGTCAGTATAACCGAGCTGGCATATGAATAAAACCTTTTAGGGACTGATGTACATAGAAACGTTAAGATGGTGGCGATGTCGCAAAAGTGAAACCAACACGAAATCACGTGCGAAGCAACTCTCGTTTCCTAATCGCTGGGCAAAGATCAACGAAGATAGAATACTATTCGGACGTTAGAGGAAGGGATTTTTGGCTATAATTAAATTTTCTGACTTCTGGACTAAACAAGACGTCACTTTCCGGTGTAATATAACTGATTCAACTGCAGTGTATATCTATTAGCAACTTGTATTTAACTAGCCTAAAAATGGAGGTTATTTCGTGGATTACTGAAAAAGAAGGGTCATATATCAAGGGAAATAAAATTGAAAGCGTCGGAAGGAAGTCCGCCTGAAGTACGACCGTACAAAGTATTAACAAGCTACTCTTAACCTGAGCTGAGGAGGCGAACCTTTCGTGACGTCACAATTTGCAGTGTCATATTTTACTCAGCCTTTCGGTGAGTTCAAGCCAAGAAATTCCCTCGAAGAAGGTTAAAACTCTTTGTCTTGACCTGAAAGGTCCCGCGTTTAATTCAACAAAACCATTCAATGTTGTAGCTCTTCTCAGAAAAATACACATTACATTACATACGCAATATAAGAATTAAATTAGTAATTATTATTATTATTACATTAAATCGAGGTCGATCATTTTTTAGCCCGCGCTTTATAGTGTCTTGTTACGCAAACTTGACCGTGCAGAGCGTGGGACTGATGTTGACGCGCGTTACATTCTATTAAAGTAGTATGGAGTGATTATTTCATACATCTTTACAATTCAATTCAAAACGGATTGGACGTTTATACACAAAAATCATAAAAATTGTAATAAAGTCCCGGAGTTCAGCTGTCGTCGAAGGATCAGGGGCGGATCTAGGGGGAGGGTGCAGGGGGTGCGCCCCCCCCCCCCCCCTTGAGATGACCTGCGGTTTTCAACTGGTATTCTGCCAAAAAAAAAAAAGATGTGGTCTATTGGTGTTGAAGTAGAGCAAGAGACGAGTGCACCCCCTCCTAAAAAAAATCCTGGATCCTCCCCTAAGGATGTCGAGACAACAAAATTATAACATTTGTCACAGCTATAATCTGCAATACCTAGGAAAAATCTAGTTTCAACTCTTTGTGTCTTTCAAATAGCAGGCAGTGACATGTGTACAAATATTGGAGCACCTGACACGTAATTTCGATAGAACACGCCTTCTGTACGTGTCTTCTTTGTTAAACGAGAACTATTAAACATTTCAAAGGAACAACTTTTGCCTTGCTCTCAATTCATTCATCTTGATTTACAACATGTGTTTTTCTCAAAATTTAAATGTAGTGCCAATATTTCGAAAGGCACCGCCTTCGTTCTTTAGGTACGTCAAGCCGTGCCTTTCGAATATTGGCACTAAAATTATACCGTAAATTCCGAAAATAATCCCCTCCATGTATAAGCCCCTCCAAATATAAGTCGCCCAAACCGAAAACGCAAAAAACCCTCCGTTAAATCGCCCCTCCAAATATAAGCCCCCCGGGGCTTGTACTTGAAAAGTTGTCCTCAAACACTAAGTAAAACAAAGCAAAAGCGGTAAATTTATTTCCAACTATACGGCTAGCCCAATCGATTTTGAAACGCAAACTTCTCTCCGTAGATAAGCCCCTCCCCTCCCTCAAAAAGAGCCTTTGAAAAATATGAGCCCCAGGGCTTATTTCGGAGTTTTGCGGTATTCCCAACTGTAAAATCGGCCTTGCTTCTTTCCGTTGTTTAGTAAATGTTTAGCGTTTCCAAATTTTGTTGCTTACATTACTTTGTGGCTTATTGAAAATCAAGGGTCCAAAGATCAAGGAAAATAAAATTAAAAACGTTGGAAGTCCCCCTGAAGCAGTCAAGTCAAGTCAAGTCAAGTCAATTTGTCACAGAATAATAATTAAGAGCAAATGTCTGTAAAAATCGAGCAAAATCGAAATTTCGCGGCCACAGTCAAAAAATCATTTTCGCTCATATCTTGTCCATAGATAGGTAGAAGTAAGAAATTAAACGTGGTGTAGTTTGTTTTTCAAAAGGCCGCTTGGATTTGGAGAAAATCGACAAAATCAATTTTCGTGGTCGGCGACTTGAAAACAACCAAAATTTGAGGCAAAATGAGGCGGTCTCAAAACTTCGCTC